GCCAGAGCAACGCCCCCACGTCCATACTCCACTACAACAACCCCCACGTCCACACTCTGGTACAACGCCCCCACGTCCACACTCCAGTGCAACGCCCCCACATCCATATGTCAGTACAACACCCCCACGTCCACCGTCCAGTGCAACACTCTCCACGTCCACACATCAGTGCAACGCCCCCACATTCACACGTCAGTGCAACACCCCCACGTCCACACGCCAGTGCAACGCTCTAACACAGTTTCCCTTGAAATGTACACACAATCACAGGCAAGTATGCAAAACTAGCTAACACCCAGTCACACACAGACACACTGTGAGATCTGGAAACTTATAGGAAAATCTAACAAGCACAAATACAGAAATTCCTCCAATGCCATCAGACTGCAGAGACATGTGGCCCATAGGAGAGGCTGGGCATTTATCTGCTGGTGTCTGAGCGGAGTCCACAGCCGGTGTCAGACAGAAAGCCAAGGGTCAGAGCTGCCACCCTGTCAGCCCACCCCACGGGGTTAGTGCCCTCGGCCTCCACTCAGTAATCCCACTCTCCCACCAGGGCTCTGGAGTGATCATCAGTGTAGTGGTGGAAGGAGCCCTTTCTTCACTTTATAACTTTATAAAGTTAACTTTATAAAGGAGCCCCACTTTATAACATCAAAAAGGACAGCCCACAATGCTGAGAAGCCAGGCAGGGTGGTGGGTGGGGCGCATCAAGGTCAGCATCACCCATCGGGCAACACACCGACCCCTCACCCCTCCCACTTCACACCCTCACACAGACACTCACAGCCACATACACAGACAGCCATATGCCCACATACACTCCACCCACACAGCCAGACACACACATAACTCCCCCCACACACAGTCACACCCACATACACAGATACAGCCATACACCCACATACACAGCTATACACATACACCCACACCACCACACATGTAACCCCACACACGCACACAGACACCTACACACACAGTGATACACATACACCCACACAGCCAGACACTCACACCCACATACACAGATACAGCCATACACCCACATACACAGCCATACATACACCCACACAGCCAGACGTACACATAACCCCTCCACACACACAGCCATACACATACACCCACCCAGACACACACACAACTTCCCCACCCCCATGGACACCCCTCCCACACACACACAGCCCACACAGACACCCCCCCACATGCCTACAAACTCTCACACACACAGCCATACACACACACATACACCCACACAGCCAGACACCCACATAACCTCCTCACACACAGACACCCTACACACAGACACACACACACCTACAAACTCACACACACACAACCCCTCCCAGTCTCACGGACATTCCACACTCAGACACACACACACACAACCCCACACACATCCCCACAGACACACACATATACACCACACAGTCATACACATACACCCACACACAAACATACCCAAAGACACCCAGTCATACACACACACACCCTCCCACACATACATACCCTACACAATGACACACATACACACACCCTACAAACACAACACACTGACACCCCCCAGACACACCCATACACTCAGACCCCCCCACAGACATACACAACCCCCCCAGACACACATACACTTCAGTCATACACACACCCAAACACATACACAATCCATACAGACACACCCCCACATACATATCCTACAAACACACACACAGCCATACACATACACACAGACACCCACACACATTCAAAGATACCCACAGGCACAACCACACAACCCCCACACACACCTACAGCCACACCCACACAGCCCCACACACATCCCTAGGGACACCCCACACACAGATACAGACAAACACATATCCCACACACAGATATACCCAGACACATACCCCACAAACATACAAAGAAACAAACATATACATAACCCCCCACGTACATTCCACACACACATACCCAAAGGACAGAGACACACACCACAGCCACACACACCCTAGACAGACACCCACACTTGACAAACCTACACATACTGGACACACCCACACACACCTGACACACCTGTCCACATACACACACCCCCCACACACGTACCCAATGCCCAGACAACCACACACACACACATACCCAAAGCACAGATACACACCCCCGTGACTGGCAGGTACTCGGAGGGAGTCAGCTCCTGCCCGCCCTCACTGCTCAGAACCCAGCAGCCGAGCCCTGCTCCCAGGTGTGGGTGACAGGATGGGGTGCTGGCCCCCACCCCAGCCTCCCAGTGACCAGCAGCCGCAGGCCTTAGGAACCACCCACCTGTCTCGGTTCTCTAGTGCCGCTGTAACAGAAACTCCACAAGTAGACGGCTTTCAGTGGAAATTCATTCCCTTACAGTTTAGGAGCTACAGTCTGAGTCCAGAGAGCTGGCTCTCGGGGCTGGGTGGGGACCCCCTGGCCTTGGGCTTCAGCTCTGCCTTCCACGTCCACCGGACAAGCTGAAGGTGTCTCCTCGCTGACACAGCCGCAGGGGCTGACGGACTCGAGGCTGGCGGATAGCAGGCTACTGACTACTGACTTTGGAGGCCAATGAACCCAAGGTCAGCTTCCAACTAACTACACCCCTCTGATGGTTAAGGCTGTGGGTCACCGCAGCTGGGCCAGGATTCTCCGTGGTTTGACAGTTATGATGTAGTCACCCCCCACATGAGATCGGATAGAATGTAATCACCTCTATGACGAGATCTGCTGTGAGCGACCAATCAGTGGGAAGGGAGTTTCCTCAGGGGTGTGGCCTGCTCCCCACTTTCACGGACCTTCCGGCAGAGCCCTCTGGCTTCCTGCTCCATCTGGATCCAGCATCAGCCTCATCACATCTGGCCTCCGGCTCTGCAGACTTGAGCTAGCGGCTGCCATGTTGCCTGCCAGTCTTGGAGCCACCAGCCTGCCCAGCCCATGAGCCAGCAGCCTGCCATCTGACCTGCTGATCGTGGGTTCGTCAGCCCTTGCAGCCTCTGTGACTGTGCGAGCTGGGACTTGGGACACCCCAGCCTTGCGACTGTGTGAGCCATTTCCTTGAGATAAATCCCTCTGTATTGATCTATACACATACATGAGCTTCCCTGTTTT